TGCGTCAACGTAGGTGCCTGTGGACTTCCAGGAAGCCATCTCTGCATCCATAGCTGCCTGCCACTTAGAGGAGTAGGGACCCTCTACGGCCTCCGCGTAAGAACGCGGAGTCGGGATGTCTAGTGCATCCGGGTCTCCCTCAGGGGCAAGCAGTACAGACGCGAGATGAGGTGAAGCAGCCGCTAGACACTGTAACTCCTCCTGCCTGTCCTCTAGGACGTTCGTGCCAAGAGCACACTCACCCCCGACGGACGGAGGACAGCCAGACACAGACTCAGCAACAAGACTAGCAGCGTAGTCGAGACGACAGCGAGCAGCAAAGTCAACGAGCTCAGCGACAAGAGCAGACGCAGCAGTGGACTCAAACGAGGGGTCAGTGACGACAGTAGCAAGCAGACGCGTGACAGTAGGACTGGCAGCGCGAAGAGAGTCCGACTCAGGGTCGGCAAGCGCAGGAAGAGAGGACTCAGGAGGAGAAGGCAAAGGGGCACGCAGAGGAGCAGTGGACGGACGCAGAGACATCCGGTGCGTGCCAGGGACAGGAGGAGGACGCTGACGCGAACTGCGACCACTAGCGCGAGCAGCACGAACAGGCGACGCGGGACGAGACGCAGGCTCACGACGCTCAGCAAGACCTCCAGTAGGACCAGTGTAAGGAGAGGGAGCAGGCAGCGGAGAGGAAGGCTCCAGTAGGGACTGCGACTGGACAGGCGGTGGACCCTCTACTGGAGGAGAAAGACCAAGAACCAACTGCAGGAGCGGAACGAAGTACGGCCGAGGCCGCGCGGCAGCTCCAGACTCAGCAGGGACAGCACCAGCACCCTCAGCGACAGCACCAGCGCCACCCACACCTCCAGCGGCAGGTCCAACAGCAGCAGGCTCAGCACCAACGCCCTCAGCAGCTCCAGCTCCAGGAGGACCAGTAGGTCCAGCAGCTCCGGGACCGGCAGCACCCGCACCCTCGACGGTCGAAGAAGCTCCAGCTCCAGCTCCAGCAGCACCTCCAGACTCAGCAGCACGCCTCCAGCGGCGAGCGAACCACTCGCGCAGCTCCGGTGGAGAGAGGGGCTCCCGGCAAGACGCAGCAGCAGGAGAAACCCCAGGCTCAGCAACTCTAGGCGTAGCACCCCCAGGCTCAGCAGCTCCCAGCTCAGTGCCCTCAGGCTCAGCAGCTCCCGACTCAGCACCCCCAGACTCAGCACCTCCAGGCACAGCACCCCCCGGCTCAGTACCCCCAGGCTCCGCACCCACCGCAGTAGCACCCCCAGGCCCAGCACCCCCAGCAGTAGCACCCCCAGGCCCCGCACCCTCAGGGTCAGCACCCCCAGAGTCAGCACCCCCAGGCTCAGCACCCCCAGGCTCAGCACCCGGAGCAGCACCAGAGTCACCAGTAACCTCGACCGGGTCAACGGCGTCTACCTGGGACACACCTGAGGGGGCAGGAACCTGAGGGGGGAGGGGGTCGACCGGGGGGGGAACCGGCACAAGGAAGTCCGGGGGAGGGGGGAGGGAAGGAGTGCGGTAGGGGAAGAGACGGTAGAAGGGGACTGACTCGTCGAACGTGACGTCCTGGGAGGACAGAACACGACGAGAGGAGGGGTGGTAAAACTGCCACCCTGGGGCGTCAGTGGGGAAGCCAAGGAAGACACAGGGAGCAGCACGGGGGGACAGCTTGTCCGCAGACAAGTCGCGGACAAACGCCCGAGATCCCCAGACACGGAACACAGACGCATCGCCAACCTTCCCTGTCCACAGCAAGACTGGGGACATCGCAGGCCGAGAGACCCGGGGGTGAAGGTTGAGCTGATGCGCCGCGTACCTCACAGCAAACGGCCACAGAAAATGGGGGGCAGCCGCATGCATCATGGACGTACGAGCGACATCCATGACCATGCCAATGCGGCGCTCAGCAATCCCATTTTGCTGTGGTGAGTCCGGAAGCGTGAAGGTCTGGCGGATCCCCCGTGCACGACAGTAGTCTCGCAGAAGGCTAGAAGAGAACTCTCCGCCTCTGTCAGAGTGCAGACGCAGAACAGGAAAGTCCGAGCCGAAGCTCTTCCTGAGCTGGAGACGAGCCTCGCGGATCCAGTCGATCAGCACCTCAGTGACCGCACCCTTGCTGCGCAAGGGGAGGACTGTGGTGTAACGCGAGTAGTCGTCAACCACCAACAGGAAGTAGCGCTCGTAACCCTGCCCACGGACGGGGGCTGGGCCCCACACATCCATGTGAAGCGTCTGCAGGGGAGCCTCTGTCGGGGGGAAGTGGGAGGAGTGAGGAGTAGCCCGGAGGCGACCCTCGACACAGGGGACACAGGAAGGTCCTGGCCCGGAGGGGAGAGGAGGGAGAGACTGGGGAAGACCAGAGACAAGGACACGGGAAGCCATGTTCCGAAGACGGGGCAAGGAGGGGTGGCCAAGACGGTGGTGCCACAGGAGAGTCTCGTGAGACAGGAGGCGACAAGAACAGGGGGCAGACTCAGGACCTGACCGGGAAGCAGCAGCAAACACCTGACCTGACGCAGCTACCCGACCAGACGCAGGGACAGGAGGAGACGAAGTGGTCAGGGTGTAGAGACTCGACCCCGGCCGACGCGAAAAGGTGGCCAGGTGTCGGCCTGTGTCTGCGTCCGTGCAGTGGGTCACCCGTCGCCTCGCAGGAGTGAACTGGTGAACCCCCGCATCCTGTAGGTCCGCACCACTCACCAAGTTCGTAGAGAACGAGGGAAGGTACAGACCAGACAGGGTGCCCGAAGGGGCAGCCGGACACGGGAGGACAGTGGAGAAGTGAGACAGGACAGGACCCCCAGAGGGGTCAGCAAGGGAGACCGCAACCGGCCGGCCAAGAGGCGTAAGGGTAGTGCGGTCTCGAAAGAAGGAGCGAGAAGCCCCAGAGTCAAGTGTGAAAGTGAGGGAGGACGAGGGCGACGCAGTACCTGAGAGCGCAGTCTCACCAGCACCTGAGAGCGCAGTCTCACTAGTACCTGAGAGCGCGGACGCACTGGCACCTAGAGCAGCAGCCTCACAAGTACCTAGCGCAGCAGTACCAATGCCCGGGTCGGGCTGGAAACACCGGTAACCCTCATTCTCCTCACTATAAGTCACAGCATACATAGCAGAAAGGATAGCATCAAAATCAAGATCAAAGATCGCTACACCAGCCCTAAGGAGCTCATCCCAGCGAGGGATCTCACTAGCCCCGGGGAACTGCTGACGCCAAGCGTCCGTCAGGCGGCCAAAGCAGCGCTGGGTGGAGTGGGCACCCCCACACTGCTCACCCGCGCGGTCGCCGGAGCGAAGAACGTAGGCGCAGGGACCAGTACCCCCACCCCTTCGACGCGCAGCGTACCACTCACGAAGCTGCTGAGGCGGAGGGATGTCCCGCGAACGCTGCTGCTGCTGCCGGTGCGAGCGCTGGGCACCACCACCGCCGCTCCGCTGCTGGGTACCCCCACGACTAGCTCCACCTCCTCCACCACTACCGCCTCCACCGCCGGCGCCTCCACCGCCTCCACCTCCACCGCCTCCTCCCCCGCCGCTGCCTCCACCACCACCGCTGCCACCACCACCACCGTCTCCGCCGCTGCTGCCACCACCACCACCACCACCACCACTACTCCCGCCGCCACCCCCACTCCCTCCGCCGCCTCCGCCGCCACCGCCACCGCCCCCTCCAGCTCCGCCCATGCCCTTGCCCCCCTTGCCCTTGCTAGAGCGACGTCTCCCACTAGGGGCGGACGCCGCGCCGACAGACTCAAGACCAAGCAGGTCGGCCGCAGCAGCAGAGGCAACAGAGGGCAGCAAGGGGGGAGGAGAGCACCCCTCAAAGATGGGGGTGCGAGGGTCACCACGAGAGGCACCTACAGCGACTATGCTCTTCTCCGCTGCGAGGAGGGCCTTCTCGAGGAGGTCGACGGTGAGAGTGGTGGGACAGACTGCGAGAAAGTGGTCCGTGACTACACGGAGGGAGTCAGGGAGGCGCGCGACTACGTAGTAGAGAGTGATGTACATGGGGGGGGGGTTCTTAGCGCAGAACTCAGCAGGAAGGGCGGCGCGGTAGCGAGTGTCACTAGTGCGGAGGTGCGTAATGAGGTCAGCGACAGTGGGAAAGGCAGAGAGGTCAGGAAAGAGGTAGGGAAGCATGAGACGGCTCAGTGCAGCAGTGGCAGGGGAGGAGTAGCGCGCAACTACAGCGTCGTACAAGGTCTGAGCACTCTTGTACTGACTAAAGTGTGCACGCTCAGAGGTAGGGAGGTGGCGACGCACAGCAAGACGTGCAGCAGCATCGCGGGTGGCCCACTGAGAGCGGACAGTGGGATCAGCATCGGCAGCAGGAGCAGGAGAGGCGCCAGAGGTGAGGTCAAAGAGAGAAAGGCTGTCAGCTCTGTCGCACTGTAAGAAAAGCTGCAGGTCGTCCAGCCAGACCTCAAAATCAATGGCGCGACCCTCGGCGTCAAAGGCTAGGACACTAGGGGTGGCCATGACGACTACAGTGAAGCAGTGCAAGCAGTAGGGAAAGAGGGCGCAGTGACAGACGGACTGTGCTCACCAGGCAGGGCAGGCCGTGCAGCTCGACAGACAAGCAGAACGGCGACCGGGCGGCTCGTGTGTACAGCGGCTCGGCTCCCGGGCGGCTCGGCGGCAGGGCGGCTCGGGTGCAGGGCGGCTCGGCTCCCGGGCGGCTCGGCTGCAGGGCGGCTCGGGTGCAGGGCGGCTCGGCTACCGGCGGCTCGGGTGCAGGGCGGCTCGGCTCCTGGGCGGCTCGGCGGCTCTGCTGCCCGACTGCTGCAGGTGAGGCGGCGGGGTCGCGTGAGAGAACCAGGGCGGGGCCGCGTTAGGGCCGGCGTAGGAGCCGGGGCAGGGCCGGGTTGGAGCCGGCTGCAGGGCCGCGTAGGAGCCGGCGCAGGGCCGCGTTGGAGTCGGCGGCCGAGCCGCGTAGGGGCCGGCGCAGGGCCGAGTAGAAGCCGGCGGCAGGGCCGCGTCGGAGCAGGGGCGGGGCCGCGATGGAGCCGGCGGCGAGGCCGCGTAAGGGCCGGCGCGGGGCCGAGTAGGAGCCGGCGGCGGGGCCGCGTAGGAGCCTGCGGCGGGGCCGCGTAAGGGGCTGGGGACGGGGCCGCGTAGAAGCCGGGGCAGGGCCGCGATGGAGCCGGCGGCGAGGCCGCGTAAGGGCAGGCGCGGGGCCGAGTAGGAGCCGGGGACGGGGCCGCGTAGGAGCCGGGACGGGGCCTCGTAGAAGCCAGCTGCGGGGCCGCGTGAGAGCCGGCGGTGTGGCCGCGTAAGGGCCGCGTAAGGGGCCGGCGCGGGGTCGCGTAAGGGCCGCGTAGGAGCCGGCGCGGGGCCGCGTAAGGGCCGGGGGCGGGGCCGCGTAAGGAGCAGGCGGCGTGGCCGCGTAAGGGTCAGGGCGGGGCCGCGACAGAGTGGGCGGGGAGGCCGCAGGGGAGAGGGCGACTCGAGGGGTCGCTAAAAAAAATCGCGCCTCTGGGCGCGCTTCGGTGGGCCCAAAAAAAATCGGTCCTGGAGGGACCTAGCTCTATACCATGTGAAACAGTGAGAAGAGGAATGAATTGACTAAGTCAAGAATGAGTACAAATAGGAAACCTAATTGTGTTGTACCCCTTATGGGATACCCCACTGTAGCCTACACAAACAGGTAAGCTATATGTTCTGACAGCTACTCCTCCCCTGCCACTGCTGCACTGAGCCGCCTCATGCTACCGTACCTCTTTCCTAACCTTGCTGCCTTTCCCATAGTCGCTGACCTCATTACGCACCTCTGCACAAGTGACACTCGCTGCCGCGCTGCGCTTCTTGCTGAATTCTGCGCCAAGAACCCCCCCCCCCCCAAGTACATCACTCTCTACTACATAGTCACCCGCCTCCCTGACTCCCTTCGCGTAGTCAGAACCACTTCCTCTCAGTCTGTCCCACCACTCTCACTGTTGACCTCCTCGAGAAGGCCCTCTTAGCAGCGGAGAAGAGCATAGTCGCTGTAGGAGCCTCTCGTGGTGACCCGCGCACCCCCATCTTTGAGGGGTGTTCCCCCTCCCCCCTTTTGCCCTCTGTTGCCTCTGCTGCTGCGGCCGACCTCGTTGGGCTTGAGTCGGTCGGTGCGGCGTCTACCCCTAGCGGGAGATGCCGCCCTGGCAAGGGCAAGGGGGGCAGGGGCGTTGGAGGAGCTAGCGGGTGTGGTGGAGGCGGCGGTGGAGGCGGCGGAGGGGGTGGGGGTGGCGGTGGGGGTGGTGGCGGGGGTGGAGGTGTCGGTGGCGGCAGTGGAGGCGGAGGCGGCGGCGGTGGCGGTGGGAGCGGAGGTGGCGGGGGTGGCGGCGGTGGAGGAGGCGGTGGCGGAGGAGGTGGAGCTGGTCGGGGTGGCGCTGCGCCGAGGGTCGGCTCCGGTGGTGGTCAGCGCCAGCAGCAGCAGCAGCGCACTCGTGACATCCCCCCCCCTCAGCAGCTCCGTGAGTGGTACGCTGCACGCTAGCGGGGTGGGGGTACTGGTCCGTGCACCTACGTCTTGCGCACCGGGGACCGCACGGGTGAGCCGTGTGGGGGTGCGCACCCCACCCAGCGCTGCTTTGGCCGCCTGACGGACGCTTGGCGTCACCAGTTCCGGAGGCCACGGAGATCCCCCGTTGGGGTGAGCTGTCTAGGGCGGGCGTAGCTATCTTTGATCTTGACATTGATGCTATTCTTGCTGCTATATATGCTGTGACTATTAGTGATGAGGGGGACTGTTATCGGTGTTTCCCGCCCGATCCGGGCATTGAGACTGCTGCTCTAGGTGCTGGTGAGGCTGCTGCTCTGGGTGGTAGCGAGGCTGCTGCTCTAGGTGCTAGTGCGTCTGCTTCCTCCGGTATTGGTGAGTCTGCGCTCTCAGGTACTGCGTCGGCTTCGGCCTCCCACACCTTCACACTTGACTCGGGGGCTTCTCGCTCCTTCTTTCGAGACCGCACCACACTCACGCCGCTTGGTCGGCCAAATGCTGTCTCCCTAGCAGACCCCTCTAGGGGTCCTGTCCTTGCTCACTTCTCCACTGTCCTCTCGTGTCCGGCGGCCCCCTCTGGCACCCTGTCTGGTCTTTACCTCCCCTCGTTCTCTACGAACTTGGTGAGTGGTGCTGACCTACAGGATGCGGGGGTTCACCAGTTCACTCCTGCAAGTCAGCGGGTGACCCACTGCACGGACGCTCGGACAGGCCGACACCTGGCCACGTTTACACGTCGATCAGGGTCGAGCCTGTACACATTGACCACTGCGTCTCCTCCAGTCACTACGTCTGGTCAGGTAGCTGCGTCGGGTCAGGTGTTAGCTGCAGCGTCCTGGTCTGGTCCTGAGTCTGCCCCCTGCTCGTGTCGCCTCCTGTCTCACGAGACTCTCCTTTGGCACCACCGCCTTGGTCACCCCTCCCTGCTTCGTCTCCGAAGCATGGCCTCCCGTGTCCTTGTCTCTGGTCTTCCCCGGTCCCTCCCTCCCCTTCCTCCGGGGCCTGGCCCTAGCTGCGTCCCCTGTGTCGAGGGGCGGCAGCGGGCTGCCCCTCACTCCTCCCAGTTTCCTCCGACAGAGGCCCCGCTGCAGACGCTTCACATGGACGTGTGGGGCCCAGCCCGCGTCCGTGGACAGGGTCACGAGCGCTACTTCCTGCTGGTGGTTGACGACTACTCGCGTTACACCACAGTCTTCCCCTTGCGCAGCAAGGATGATCTCACTGAAGTGTTGATCGACTGGATCCGCGCAGCTCGTCTCCAGCTCAGGCGGAGCTTCGGCTCGGACTTTCTTGTTCTGCGTCTGCACTCTGACAGAGGCGGAGAGTTCTCTTCTGGCCTTCTACGAGCCTACTATCGTGCACGAGGCATCCGCCAGACCTTCACACTTCCGGACTCTCCACAGCAAAATGGGATTGCTGAGCGCCGCATTGGCATGGTCATGGACGTCGCCCGTACGTCCTTGATGCATTCGGCTGCCCTCCATTTTCTGTGGCCGTTTGCCGTCCGGTACGCGGCGCACCAGATCAACCTTCAGCCTAGGGTCTCCATGCCGGAGACCTCCCCAGCTTTTCAATGGACGGGGAAGGTTGGCGATGCGTCTGCGTTCCGTGTCTAAGGATCTCGGGCGTTTGTCCGCGACTTGTTTGCGGACAAGCTGTCCCCTCGTGCTGCTCCTTGCGTCTTCCTGGGTTTCCCCCCTGACGCCCCAGGGTGGCAGTTCTACCACCCCACCTCTCACCGTGTTCTGTCCTCCCAGGACGTCACGTTCGACGAGTCGGTCCCCTACTACCGCCTCTTCCCCTACCGCAGTCTGTCCCTCCCCCCGCCACCGCTCTTCCTTGTACCAGGTCCCCCCCCGATAGACCCCCTCCCTCCTCAGGGTCCTGCCCCTTTAGGTGTGTCCCAGGTAGACGTTGTTGAGCCTGTCAAGGTCGCTGGTGACTCTGGTGCTGCTGAGGGTGCTGAGCCTAGGGGTGCTGACTCTGGGGGTGCTGGGCGTGTGGGTGCTACGCCTGGGGGTGCTGAGCCTGAGGGTACTACGACTGGGGGTGCTGAGCCTGGGGGTGCTGAGTCTGGGGGTGCTCAGCCTGGGGGTGCTACGCGTGGGGGTGCTGAGCCTGGGGGTGCTGAGCCTGGGGGTGCTACGCCTAGAGGTGCTGAGTCTGGCATGCGGAGCCTTAGGGAGCTTGGCCTGCTGGTGCTGTGCCTGGCGGTTCTCCGGGTGCTTCGTCTCGTCGGGAGCTACTCTCTCCACAGGAGCTGCGTGAGTGGTTTGCCCGGCGTTGGAGGCGAGCTGCTGGAGCTGGAGGTGCTGCGGGTACTGGAGGTTGTGTTGCTGCTGAGGGAGCTGGTGCCACGGGTCCCGGAGGTGCTCATACTGGGACACCTGGAGCTGCTGGGCCTGCGGATACTTCTAGAGCTGGAAGTGTTGCGGGTGTTGGCGCGGAGGCTACTGTTGTCGGTCCTGGAGGCGGTCCTGCTGGGGGTACTACTGGTGCTGCTGGAGGTACTGGAGCTGGAGCTGCTACTGGTGCAGGTGCTTCCACTGGGGGTGCTGGTGCTGTCCCTTCTGTGTCTGGAGTCGTCGTGCGGCCTTGGCCATATTTCGTTCCGCTTCTTCAGCAGGTTCTTGATCTCCCGTCTTCTACTGGTTCTCCCTCTCCCTTAGAGTGTCCACAGCCTGTCCCGTCGCAGTTAAAGTTACTGCCGGCCTCCCCACTGCATGGTCCGTCTCCCTACACTGGTCCTACTGGAGGTCTTGCTGAGCGTCGTGAGCCTGCGTCTCGCCCTGCGTCGCCTGTTCGTGCTGCTCGCACTAGTGGTCGCGGTTCGCGTCAGCGTACTCCTCCTGTCCCTGGCACGCACCGGATGTCTCTGTGTCCGTCCACTGCTCCTCTGCGTGCCCTTTTGCCTTCTCCTCCTGAGACTTCTCTTCCTGCTCTTGCCGACCCGGAGTCAGACTCTCTTCGTGCTGCCAGTCCTACTGTCACGCGTCTCCTTGCTACTGTCGTCACTGACCCTTCTTTTGAGTCCACTGCTGCGTCTGCCCTAGTTGCTGAGCTCGTCGACTTTGCTGCTCGCTGTCGTCTAGCCTACGGTGCTAGTCTTGTCGCTGAGTCTGAGTCTGTCTGTCCTCCGTTCGTCGGGGGTGAGTGTGCCCTTGGCACGGCTGTCCTTGAGGACAGGCAGGAGGAGTTCCAGTGTCTGGCTGCTGCTTCACCTCATCTCATGTCCGTATTGCTTACCCCTGAGCGAGACCCGGATGCAGTTGACATCCCGACACCGCGCACTTACGCGGAGGCGATAGAGGGTCCCTACTCGTCTCACTGGCAGGCAGCTATGGCCGCAGAGATGGCTTTCTAGAAGTCTACAGGCACCTACTTTGACGAGGTTCCCCCACCTACTTCAGTGGCATGTGGATTTTCAGGGTGAAGCGGCCGCCGGGTTCCCCGCCTGTCTTCAAGGCGCGGTACGTGGCTTGTGGCTTTAGTTAGCGGCAAGGACTTGACTACTTTCAGACCTTCTCTCCCACCGCGAAGATGACCACTCTTCGGGTGCTGCTGCACATAGCCGCTCAGTGCGACTACGAGCTTCACTCTCTCGACTTCAGCACAGCTTTCTTGCAGGGCAGCCTGCACGAGGAGTTCTGGCTGCGCCGCCCACTTGGCTTCACTGGGACTTTTCCTCCTGGCACCCAGTGGAGCCTCCGGCGGCCAGTCTACGGTCTCTGCCAGGCACTGCGTGAGTGGCACGACACACTGAGGACTACGCTTGCGGCTCTTGGGTTTGCTCCCTCTACTGCTGACGCTTCGTTGTTTCTGCGCACCGACACTTCTTTGCCGCCGTTCTACATCCTCGTGTACGTCGACGACTTGGTCTTTGCCACAGCTGACACTGTTGGACTCGCCCACGTGAAGTCTGAGCTGCAGAAGAGACACACGTGCACAGACCTGGGTGAACTGCGCAGCTACCTTGGCTTGCAGATCACCCGGGACAGAGCACAGCGCACCATTACCCTGACTCAGTCACACATGGTGCAGCAGGTCCTTCAGCGCTTCGGCTTCACGTACTCCTCGCCTCACGCCACTCCTCTGCCTACCCGTCACTCGTTCTCAACTCTGCCTTCGGATGAGTCCGTAGAGTCGAGTGGCCCGTACCCAGAGCTTGTTGGCTTCCTCATGTACTTGACGACCTGCACTCGACCTGACCTTGCATACCCTCTTAGCATTCTCGCACGCTATGTTGCTCCTGGGAGACATAGACCGGAGCACATGGCTGCAGCGAAGAGGGTGTTGCGCTACTTGTGCAGAACGTCGGGCATGGGGCTTGTGCTTGGAGGGCGGAGTCCAGTGGTCCTCACAGGGCACGCAGACGCTTCTTGGGCGGACGACCAGGCTACGCAGCGGTCGTCACAGGGTTACACCTTCAGCCTTGGTTCCGGCTCTGTTTCGTGGCGGGCTACCCGCTCGTCTTCTGTTCTCGGCTCCAGTTGTGAGGCTGAGATCTACGCCGGGGCCATGGCTGCACAGGAGCTTCGCTGGCTCATCTACCTGCTGACTGACTCTGGAGAGGTGCCTCGTTCTCCTCCAGTGCTGTACGTAGACAACAAGGCCATGCTGGCCTTGTGTTGAGAGCAGAGACTGGAGCACAGAACAAAGCACATTGCTCTTCGCTACTTCCTTGCTCGTGAGTTGCAGCAGCGTGGTCAGCTGCCTCTTGTGTACGTGGCCTCTGAGGCCAACACTGCTGATATCTTCACCCGGGCACTTGCGCCTTGTGATCATCAGCGTTTGTGTACTCAGCTTGGTCTTGTGCCTGTCTTGCCTCACTTGCTCACCTCTTGACCTTGCTTGTACTGTTACATATATATACACCTGCTCTTGCTTGTCTAGCTTTCTATATATATATGTACTCCTGCATGTGAACTGGCCTTGTGGCCTTGAACTTGTGCTCGGAATGTGTGGTGACTTTGTGATCCACCCTGAGGTTGCTTTGCTTTGCTTTGCTTGACTGGTCTTGTGACTGCTTTTTCTCCCCCACTTTGCCTATAGGGGTGTGTCAGAACATTATAGCTTATTCTTTTGTGTAGGCTGTAGTGGGGT